AGGCCGTTACTATTAGTAACCAGAAGCTACTAGTAACAAGGACGCTTTTAGGTGGAGGCCATTGCTATTAGGTTGGAGGCCATTTCTACTAGTAACAGGAAGCTACTAGTAACAAGGACGTTTTTAGGTGGAGGCCATCGCTATTAGGTTGGAGGTAACAGCATGCTGTCGCTTCATGCTGTGGCGGCTGTTTTCATAAAGGGAACTAGGTGCATAAGCAAAGCTTCCAGCAATCCAACATTTCTACACGCAGTTTGGCTCACAGAAAGACCAAAGCTAGCTGAGAATGTGAGGGGCATCCTGCACATATATTTACGCTTATAACAACACTATCAATCTAGAATCAAGATTGATCAAGACTGGAACGTTGGAAACTTCTGAAGTTAAGCAGCAAAAAGATGTGTTTTGCCCACAATGGACGAAATGGACAGAATTATCTTGTGTAACTCTTCGCTTGGATCTGCGGAGGCCTCTTCTTGTCTCCCTGAGCCTTTGCTGTTCCATGGCGTGCCCAAACCCATTTAATGGGTCGCTTGACAGATGACGAGGGCTGGCTTGGGGTAGTTCGGGTCTCCCCCCAATCATCGAGTTTCACTGTGATGATATATATAAATATTAAGTGTATAGTCTGGGAATATATGATGAACATATTGTGAAAGTGAAGCGGTATGAGCCGTTTGCTGGTTGCCACCGCGGTCCAAGATGGCCGATTGAGCCTTTTGTTTTCACTTTGCACTGCTGCGCCATGGCATGAAAGATCGATCCAGCAGCCTGCCGTGAAGACGTTTTCGTTCGTTGACCCGCAAGGTGTATTTGCAAACACCATTGCTAGTTGGTGGCGCGGAGCCTCAACCTCCTGATGTCCCAGACCTCATACGACTGGCAGTGGGATCCATACGATACCCCCGAAAGCTTCGACTTCGGCCAGGACGACGAGGATGAAGAGACTCAGGACACCTTCGACCAGTTCGAAGATGAAAACCCTTGGCAATGGACCCCTCGAACGGCAGGTCACAATAGCAGCAGCACCAGCACCATGCCGGAGCTCCATCGACCCGACGGAAAGACCTATGTGCCTACCTGGCTTTGCACCCAATGCAAAAGTGCTCAATGGAGAGTGCAAGGCGACGGCTATGTGTGCATGAGCTGTGGCAATCGGAGTTTCTATGACGCCGGACTGCCACGAAGTCAAGACACGGGTTTGGGCTCCTGGACCTATGTCCCTTCCCATGATGATGCTGGCAATGACCCTGTGCGAGGCGGACGACGCCATGGAGATCCACGACCTTTTGATGAGCCCAAAGAGACAGCAGAATCTGAAGTTCCCACCGACGACCCGGTGATCGACCCTTCCTCGCTCGAGCCGCTGAGGCCTTCGAGGCGGCAAAGGAAGGCAATTCGACGAGCCAAGCACTCCGGTGGACGAGACTCAGGTCAACCTGTCCCTGCAGTACCTGCGCAAGATCCTCAACCTGCGCCTCGATTACCAGGCCTTCATTCTAAAGCTCAACAATGCGATCCTCCTGCACGAAGAGATCGACATGTTCAAGCTTCCCCGCCTGATGGCGGAAGAGGCACTGGCGGTGGCAAGGGATCTGGCAAGCCTGACGCCGGATCAGATCAGGCTGGTTCGTCAAAGAGCAACGTTTGGCGAGACCAGATGCTGAAGAACATGCATGACATCCACCAGAAGTCACAGCAGGATAAGCCCTGGGACATCAGCAAGGGCCCTGCACCAGGCATCAAATACCGAGGCGGCACCCCTCCACTACCTCCTCATGGGAAGCTCATCGTGGAGACCTTCAAGCCTTCCAGCGATGGGAAAAGAAGCTAGCCGTCTGGCGAAGGCAGATCAAGAGCTACCTTCCGCCCAACGAAGCGTCCATGTACCTGTACGTCAACCTCTCCGGCGAAGCCGCCGAGGAGCTCGAACACTGTGAGCTCGACCTCATCGATCATGAACAGGGGATCGAGTACATCCTGGAGACCCTCCGCACTCCCCTCATGGTGAAGGGAGTGTACCTCAAGAGGAAGTTTTTGGACGACTTCGAGCGTCTGTCACGACGCAACGGCGAAAGCATTCCTGCTTTCACCAACCGATACCACCGTTGTGAACGAAGTCTACAATCGGTCGGCGTGCAGGTGAGCAACATGTACGACGATGAAGCTGCTGGCTCACGCCTCATGGATCGCATGAGACTTGGAGCCGAAGCTCAAAGGATGATCCTCATCGCCACCGGCAACTCCCTCCGCTACCGTGACATCAAAGAGGCAGCAGAAACCCAATTCCCAGAGCACCGTGCTACTCCAGCGGTGGTCTACAACCGGGACTTTGAGGACACACCCAAAGAACCTCGTGACCGCGGACGTGATCGACCTGACGGTCCACCTCGAGGTCAATGGAAGGCCAAAGATGGCAAAGGAAAGGGCAAGGACCGCGGCAAGAGCAGCGGGAAAGGCAGTTCGAGCACCTTCGTCCGTTCCTCCTACATCACTGAGATCCCCGAGGGTGGCCAGTCTGAAGATGAGCACGCCCCGGCCGAGGAAGATGAACTCGGCGGCGATGAAACGCCGCAGGAAGCAGCAGACGCTGATCCTACTGAACAAGAAGCCGATCAGGCCTCGGATGCAGCAGAAGATTTCTCCGACCTCGACCTGGCAGCACACTGCTTGACGGTGACGGCCAGGAGGCTATCCAACATGCGCCTTGGACGAAAGTTCTCAGGCGGTGGAAAGAGCATCTCTCAGCGCAAAGCAGAGAGCCATTGCGCCGTTTGTGGCCAAAAAGGTCACTGGCGAGGAGACAAGGAATGCCCACAGTCAGCTTCCTCCTCCTCTGAAGTCAAGCCCAAGACGGGTAAGGACGACTCCAAGACCAAAGGAGCCGGCAAAAAGGTTCTGTCTGTTTTGCACCCTGATGGACACAATCGCTCGGTGAACTTCAATTTGGACACCAACAATGACAAGGAGACCCCCTACGGCACGTACTTCACTTACATGGTTACTTCACCGGCGATTACTCCATCAAGAACTTTGGGGGATGGGCTTCACCAGGTCTTTGGGGCAAACCTCGAAACGTATGAGCACCACCTCATCATGGACACGGCATGTCAAAAGACTTGTTGTAGCAACACCTGGCTGGATCGTTGGACCCAGCATGTGAAGCAGTACCACTTCCGCCCCAAGTTGACTCCCAGTCGCGAGCCGTTCGAGTTCGGTCATGGTCCTTTGCAGTATAGCACCCATCACGCCTTTTTACCATGCGGCTTCACCAGTGATGAGAGTTCATTTTGTTTGTTGGGCACGTCAGTTCTCACCACATCGAACGACATCCCTCTCCTTGGAAGCAACACGCTCCTCAAAGATAGACTTCAAGCCGTTTTGGACCTGCCCAACCAGCTTGCGTTTTTGAGTGAACTGCAGTGCACCATACCAATTTGTTTGTTGAACGGCCACCTGGCCCTGGACATTGCACGATTCACCACATCCTCCAGTCGTTCGAAGGTTTGGAAACAGCTCTCTGAGTCGATCGATGCGGGTTCAGCTGATGCGGAGTTTGTTTTTCTTGCAGCCGCTGACAGCAGGTTCACCGACCCGTCATCGACGACCTGTGATGCCCCAACGACCACCTCGTTGGCTTCAGCTATGGCGCCATGTGGTGCATACGCTGCTGTGCGCGGAGTTCCTCCTCCTGCGCGTGATGAGCCAGGCGGTGCACCTTCGAATTCGCCCTCGAAGCTGGCTAGCTCACCAGGACCCGTTGTTGATGGAAGAGAAGGAGAAGCTCTACTCGAGAGCCATGGGTCCGTGCCAGCACGAGAAGATCACTCGCTACGGCAACCGACATGGCAGGTACAGCCGATGCGAGGATTGCAGCATGAGATGGAAGTGGGACGACAACGCTCAAAAGTGGGTGGAACCGCCGGCAAGAGGCTCGCAGCGGCTGCCGCTGCCTTTACCGTCTTCATGCACGGCGGTGACCTTCGAGGACAAGCGCTTCACCCCTGCGCTCCGGATGGGCCTCACACCTCCTTCGAGATCCTCCACACCGGCTCTCGTGAACAAGGACCGGTCGGCAACCCGATCCAAATCCATGGCATTGAAGCCCAAGACCAAGAGGGCAGTGGAGGAAGAGCCTTCGGAGATTGTCTCGGACGACAGCTTCGAGTGGGACAAGGTGGACAACTTGGACCCTCGGTCACCATGAGTTCCACGAGCACTACGGCTCCCATGCCCATGAGCTCAAGAATGCCCACATCCGGAACGATGCCATCCTCCGGAACTACTCCATCTACCAAGAAAGGCAGCACAGCGTGGCTACTTGGCCACCTGAGGAACAGCAGAAAGACCTATGAGAGGGAGATCCATGCCTACCAGAGCCTCACAACACACTCGCAGTGGAAGCGAGGTGGATGCCAGGCCGACGTCCTGGAGATCTTCGCTGGCAAGGCACGTATAAGCTCCCTGGCTCACTACTTTGGTCTGTCTGCGGTGCAGCCCTTCGACCTGGAGTATGACATCAACCTTATGACCAAAGAGGGCATCGACCTCCTTTGGAATGCTTTGAATGTATGCAAGCCGCTACTGGTGGTAGTGGAATGGCCCTGCAAAGAATGGTCGCTCTTCAACCGGAACATGAACTACAGTTGGCGGCTCGATGAACTTGAAGCTCGCCGTGAAGAACAACGACCACTAGTCTACACTGGGCGCTCAAGTGTGCGAACACCAAATCGCACACGGCAGGCTCTACCTGGGCGAGAACCCTTTGAGATCCCACCTGTGGAACGAGCCAGAAGTTCTCAAGCTCCGCGACCATCCGGACAACATCGAGACTGTCTGCGACGCCGGAGCCTACGGCAAAGAGAGCAAAGATGGCTTCCCTGTCCAAAAGCCACATCGCTGGATCACGAACAGCGAATGCATTGCCGCTCAACTGCAGCACAAGCTCACAGCCGAACAGAAGATGTACACCAAGAAGATCGAAGGCTCAGACACTACAGCCTCCGGTCAATACAGTGACGGCATGGCACAGGCAATACTTCTTGGACTACAACAGGAAGCAAAGCGCCGGAACCCACAAAGGTTCCACAAACAAACCACCAGCATCGGCAGCAGCAGCACGGCAATGAGGCACTCACACGCCTCCCAAACGGATGCACACTCTCACGGGCAGGCATCCGAACACAGTGAACAGCATCAGGTCTACTATGCACACCCCAGTCACGACACGACAGCATGGGCACATGTCCTGGACGAGTTGGAGACCCGGTTCACCAACACATACAAGAGGCCATTCAACATCGGCGAAAGCGATGAGCTGTTCACACACATTCAACAGCTGGTACCATGGCAGCTCAGCAGAGCACAAGCAGTATGGACACCAGCAGCCCGCAGGCTACCACTGGACATCCCTTACACACACAGGGGATGCGCCTACAAGAACACACAAGGCCAGATAGCACTCGAGCACGAGGACCTGAGCGCAGTGGCCTACCCAAAGCAGAGGTTCGCAGAGGCCATACGTGTTG